TTTGATTTAAACTAACCCAATCCAATAAAAAACCAAATCAAACCAATATAAAATTAAGTTAGTTTGAATTATAAAATTTTAAAACCAATATAATTAGTTTAGTTTGTGGTTTTACCTTCAAACCACCCGAATTACCTAATTACAAAATAAATCTCAATTACAAGATAACTTAATTAAATAATATAATGTTTTTTTGTAGTATTTTAAAATTCCTTTTTTCTTGTTTTATAAGATAATAACTCTATTAACTTAATTAAAAAAATAAAAATAGAACATCTTCATATTCCTAATTTATTTTCCCTTCTTAATCGTACACCCTAACTCTAATTTCAAATTTCTAATTTACCTACAATTCTATCTTTTAAAACTACTCTACGTCTTTACTTTTAGAAACCTAAATTTCTAATTTGTTTCTAAAATAATATTTTGATTCTCTCTTTTCGATTGGAGCGTTAATTCGCTTGAGAGTGTTTCAGCTATAAGAAAACATAAAAGGTTGCTGAAGGTGTTTCATAAGAACCAAAAGGGCTGTGTATAATGAGTTACTGGCTGGGCTGGTTGTATTTCATATGTTATTTGGTTCCTGGTATAAGATGCTGGAAGGGATGTTCATGTTACTTTTATGTTTCCATTAGTTGTATCCTAAATTTGTATATGGGTTGGAGTACCCCTTGTACTCTGCATAATAAAATTTATTTATTTTGTCAATAAAAAAAAATATTATGATTCTTCTAATTAAGTTTTAAAGAAATATCATTTTAGAAGTTTTAAAACCATATAATAGAACTAATCTTAATTTTCTACTATTCTTGGATGTTTAGTTGAGGAGTTTTAAATTTTAATTATGAATGCTTGTAATCAATTCTAGTGATATTCATCTTAAATTTTATTTACTTTTAATAGGATTTGAAATATGAGATTAAATTATTAGTGCATTAAGCAAAAGAATTAATTTTAACTTTTAAAAATTACTTACATTGTACTTGAAACTTGAAATCATTTTTTATTGTTCTAGATGCCTTTGGTGATGTAACCAAGAAGAATTTTCATATTTTTTCAAAATTTACAATTGTAAAGCAGTATAAGAATTTATTTATAATTTGCGCCTTCTATTATATTTCTACTAATTTAGATATTAATGTGTTTTATAGTTGTATTTTTTATTTGATATTAATTTTTTTTTATATTACCTTATATATTTAATAGTGTTAAAAACTGATTAATTCAACTGAATTACACTGATCCGATTTAAGTTGGATTGATTTAGTTATCATATAATAATATATTAGATTGATTTAAAAATTTTACTAACCGATTAAATTAGATTGGTTTAAAAATATTAAAATCCAAACCAAATATCACCGCAAACACTCTTATTTGCAAATAAGGTTAATTAAGGGATAAAAAAAGTTATCTCTTGTTATGTTACCAAAATTAAAAAAATATATAAATATTAAATAAATAAGGAAAACAAAACCAACGTCTGGGAACCACCATTCTTGGAAAAGGAAAAGGGCATGGGATGGGGGAGATTGTGGCTTAGTTTGACCGCGTTTGATTGTAATTGTAATTGTGATATCCCAAAAATTTCTAGAATAAATAAGTGAGTTAAGGATTAATTTGTGAGGAAAATATTGTTTTGGGCTTAATTATCAAAATTTAAAAAGTTGAGAGACTTAAAAGAGTAAAGAATTTGGATAAGGATGGCTTATTTCTTTTCTCCTTTTCTTCTTCTTCCTCACCCGATTCTGCTCCTTTCTTTCTTCCCGCTGCAGCCGAACAACAAAAAAAGGGGAACCCAGCCATGCTTTGAAAAACCGGTGAGATAAGCTTGATTTCTCCTTCTTTTCTTGCTCTACAACACATGTAGAACCCAGAAATTTCCCCCACCCCTCTGCAGAATCCGGATCTGCTCTGCTTTGCTCTGTCCTTCCGCCGGCTGCTCCTGCTTTGTGGGGGTGATTTGCTCCGGTTTTGGGTAAGAAACAGCTACCAATTCCTTTGTTCTTCCTTAAATTGGCTTGGGTTTACTCTAAATCCCCTTGATTTCTCCAATTTCCGGTGGATTTCCCTTGAATTTCTCCTACACTTGCCGCCGGCTTCTCCCCCTGCCAAGTCCGGTTCTGCAGCTGGAAAATTTATGGTAGGTTGGCTTCTCCAATTCTCGAAAATTGGTTGATTAGTGGCTACCTTTGTGATGTCCGAATTTTATAGAAAAATGAGGGAAATTTGATAGCTTTAGGACCATGATTTAGCTTAATTGAAGTGGGATTCATGTGATTGAGTGTTAATTGATTGTTGTGAGATTTTTTGGAGAACAATCCCGTGAGAATAGGCTATGGTTTTGGCCAATTTTTGGAAGTGGGAGTTACTGTTCACGTCATGGTTACTGTTTATGGGTTACTGTTCACACATCGAGGGTTAACGATTAACGGGGATTTAAATGAGAGGAATGCTAGCTGCACTCGCCTTTCTCCAGCACTCTCCAACACTCTCTCATGTGAAATGTCCACGTAACAAATTTTGGCTCGCAATTCAAAGTTTCCAACTAAAAAAAGTTCACGTGGCTATTTTAGATGAGGGGATGTTGGTGGGCAAAAGGTATCTGTTTACCCCTTAACTTTTCGATTTTTAGGGTTTTTACCCTTTATATTACAATACATGAATTTTTACCCTTAACGTTTTCAAGTTGAGGAAATGAGGCAAAATTTAACGCTGGAACGTCACGTGTAGCACGTGCACCATTGACCTCCGTCAAGTATGCGCATGTCAGCGCCAACTTAAAATTTTTGACAACCTGGCATGCCAACTTGGAACCCCACGTGCAGGAAGTCTATTTGCTGCCAATTTTTTTGTGATGCCAATTTTTTTGTGAGCCCCACCGCTAACTAAAGGTTTGAAAAAAAAAGGGTTAAATCCTAGATTCAGTCCTTTAACTTTTAGTTTTCCTCAAACTTCAAAATATTGTGACTTGACACCAAAAATATAATTTAATAAATAAAAATTTCTTTTTTTTCTCATTTTCTTTCCTTTTCTCCTTCCCCTCCCTACTGGGTTCAAAGGAACCCAGCACCAGCGCCTGGGACAAATCACAGTTCTCTGCCTCCTTTCTCACAACATCAAGAACAGCATCAATGGGCTCAGCTACCTCAGTGTAATGGCCCTTAGCCCAGTTGTTACCAGCGCCAGATTGACCAAACACAAAGTTATCGAGCCTCTCATTGTTTAACAACAGATCTGCAGAAACAGCAAAACAAGCAGATGTCTTGACTACAGACATAAGACTTAAGCAGACAAGGAGTTAGATGACTATACTATCACTATCAAATATGAAATTTCAAACACTAAAATACTCGAGTCAGCAATTTCTCTAATTTTTCAACCTACTTTCTCGGCAAACAAACAGAAAACCAAAGATGAGGATTTTATACTTACATCGATCAGAGGCGGAGAGAGAGATAAGAGAGTACAGAGCACGCACGCCTGGGTTCGAGAACCCAGGCGAACCCGCGCCTGGGTTC